CATCAACTATAGATCACTGTCTTTGTGCATCAGGAATACACAGTCATCAGCAAACAGGGTTTCTTGAATGACTATATGGAAACATGTCCCTGCATTCAAGCAGCAAGTAGAAAACTGTCTAATCAGTACCTGATATACACTCCTTTCTTCAGACTCTGGACAGCATGTAATAACATGCAAGCAAATAACAGATTGAATAGGATTGGGGCTAGGACACAACGCTGTTATCCCCCAGTAGAAATGGCAAATGAAGTTGACGTATCACTGTTGTAAAGGACTGGTTCTGTCATTCTCTTGTGGAATAGTTAAATCAACTTCATGAATTTCCTCAGGCAGCCATAATATCTCAGGATGGTTCAGAGTGTTACCCTGTTTACAGCATCAAATGCCTTTGTTAGGTCAATGAAGATAAAGAGGTTATTCTGCCCAATGTATTATTCCTGGACTTGTGTCATGATAAGTCTCAGAATAATACTGAATAATTAAATACCATTTAACATTTTACTTATTGGACTTAAAAGTTTTGATCTCTCAGCTAATCAATTTCCAATAGTACAACTGGACTTTCTATTCATCTTCTATCTGCAGCAGTCCCCATGTAAAATCCTGATGTGCAATCCGGGGAGATTTTGAGGATATATTCAGAAACTGTATGCATGGCTGTGTGGAATGCCTGTCCTCACTTTCATCAGCAGAAACTGCCATCTCTAACAAAAGTATAGTATTAGATTTAACTACAGTTTTAAGTTTTTATAAGCTAAGATAAGTATTATCTTTAAAAATCAGTGCTACACAATATTCTTGGCTGGAAGACCATTTTAGTTTTTGAATAGCATAATCTATAATTGTATTCCAAAAGATAAGCCAGATAAGAAAATCTGGTTGAAACAAAGACATTGAACTGAAATTATTCAAATAATAATACTTTTAATGTGAAAGATTCACTTCATACTTCAACAGATTTCCACATTTAAAATAAAGCCATTTATAAGATAATCTTCCAGAAATACATGTGGTCTTCCTCCTGGTATCCTCAGCTGTGATGCAAAGAGATTCTTACCTGTTTCCTGCACAACTTGGCTACAAAAAAAAAAAAAAAACCATGCGAATGATGGGACGTAGAGTCTACTAGCTGACTTGCACTACTCATGATTCCTTAACCTACAAAAGCAGCAATTCTGTATGATTTTAGTGAAACAGGACTGCAAAGAGAAAAGTTCTCAGGAGGAAAGGGAGGGGGCAGGAGTTATGGTGGTATTTATTTTTTCAAATTTGTTATAGCCCACTTCAAATGGATTATGGTTGATGTACAAAACTACGTGGGTTATAAGTGCCCACTCAGAAGCTGTCCATGCTAGTGAAGAAACTTGGACTTCAGAACAGAACCCCTCATCACTCACCCACTTTCATTTCATAGGAGTAATATGCAATCAGCAGTAACCTGAAATTATACATAGACAGCGAATGAAACAGTGAGATGCGTAAAGCATTTTTCTCTTTTTGCTTTATGAGGCAAGTATTATTCATTATTTCACCAAATACAGAGGTTATTGTAGGTGAATTGAGAAAAATAATAGAGGCGCAAAAGGGAACAGACTAGGGTAACAAGCCACTAATAAAAAGGCCATGATCAGATTGGAATGGGCTTATTGCTACTCAAACCTACCCCACACAATTGCACTTCTCCTACTGCATCTGGCATCTTATCTTGCAAATCACATAATCCCCAAAAAGCTGATACAACCTTCTCAATTATTGATGATGCAACTGGATAGCATGTTGCCAAACTATTAAAATTCAAGAGGGTCTCAGGATTGCATCAGTTTTACATGCAAAAATATAAATAAAACATTTTAGACTATTCTATAAAATGCATCTTGAAGCCTATTTTTAAAAATATATTATTTTAAAATAATATCCAAATAATTTTAAACCTTTGATAGAGTCTTATCTCTTCTTCCATAGTTTTCAAAAGAACGAAAAGAATATTGTATTTGCAAAATTTAAAGTTTGATATTCTCATTATGAAGTACTTTATAAAAAAAAGTTAGTTCCATCATCCCCTCAACATAAAACTTGCTGAATGTTATGGTAAGAGGCAAATGTAAGAATACATGTAGAACAAATGTACTGGTATTTCAAAATAGAAAATTGTAGTGCCTGTACAAAAAAAACCTTGGTTCTCTTTTTACTTTCATTCATAGGTATGGCAGCAATTCTAATAATGCATACCAAGTAATTTCATTAATAAAATGAAAATTCAAACAAAATCTCAAATCCTAAGAGATAATCCATATTATTTTTCAACTAATGTAAGTTGTATGATAACATTAATCTACCTTGAAATATAATTTCATTTAAAATCCAAACTTTTTACATCATGATCAAGCACAAACTAGATCCAACAGTAGCTTCACCAAGTTATTAAAAGTACATCAAGGCATAGATTCTAGGACTGGGTACATATCCAGTTGCTACAATCTTTTATGTTCCCCAAACTAGCCCTCACCCAATTACTCTGTAATCAACTGGCATAAATGATACAGATAGTCTTCGACATACAACCACAATTGCACCCAAAATTTCTGTTGTTAAGTGAGTTTTGCCCCATTTTACTTTTCTCGCCACAGTTGTTAAATGAACCACTGCAGCTGATAAGTTAGTGACATGGTTGTTAAGTGATTCACTTTTCTCTATTGACTTTGTCAAAAAGTTGCAAAAGATGATCACATGACTTTGGCTCACAGCAACGGTCATAAGTATGAACCAGTTACCGAGCAACTGAATTTTGATCACATAATCATGGGATTGCTACAAAGGTCATAAGTGTGAAAAATGATCATAAGTCACTTTTTCAGTGCCGTTATAACTTTGAACAGTCACTAAATGAATTGTTGTAAGTCAAGGACTACCTGTATTCCACAGAAGTTACCAATTTGCGTACTTGATTCCTGTTTCAAAGGCCATCTTCCTTTAAAAAACCCCCCTCCAACTGTGATTAACAAAGCACAAATATAGCAAACATCAGGCACATTATTTAGCACATGCAACCCTATGTCAAATAACCAATCTGCTTAGTACTACTATATTCATTGATCAAATGTATACACTACCCATCTCACTGTTTAAATGACTTAGCCATTTACAAGTAAAAACACCATAAAAATCGTTACAAAAATATACAAAGCTAAAAAAAGAGCATATCCTCAAACCACCATCCACTATACTGCTTACTATAGAGCAAGCAAGCATACACACACACACACACACACACACACATATATGGCCTATTTGAGACTAAATTTTTGCCACAAGTCAGGTGTTAATTTATTTGACCCTTGAACCCTTGACATGTAAATCAACACTTAGAAATCAATCCAAATTCCATATAGAATTGTGGAAAGTGAAATATAAGAAACTTGTAAATAGCCATTCTAATTTCTATATTTGGATCAGATAATCTGTTAGCTATCCTCACCATCCATTAACCTCTCAATTTCTCCCCTCCCCCTACCACATTTGATCTGCCTGTTTCAAATACTGACCCTGAAACCATTAACCTGGTTTCTCATTAACCTGAGAATTCTATACCCAATCAATGATGATTAACAAGATGCTTTCGAAAAAGCCATATGTGACTATAACACTAGTCATACAAAAATGTGTAGCATATATTTCAGTTAGCAAATGAATGAGTGAATACAGAAAATATTGCACCGTGAATCTTGATACAGATTCACTATGCCTTTCCCGAATTTCACAAAGCTATTATTGAATCAAGTATCTCAATTCCATCACAGTAATTAATTTAGGTTTAAAAATAAAGTACAGTGTGCTTAGCCTGCAAATTTGCAACCAACTGTAGCTTTACAGGCAATTAATTTATTGAATTTATATAGCTGCCCATCTTTCAAAAAGTGACTCTAGGCAGCATACAACAATTAAGTAAAAATATATAGAAGTGATCATTATTAAACATACACAACAAACATTAAAAATGAAAAGGCACAGGAGAGAGTGGATACTAACTATAATGGTGTAGCCATCTTAGAATTTCATCGGTGCCCTGGGACCCTCCAGCCTGATAACATAGCCAGGTCTTGAGGGACTTCTGAAATATTAGCAAGGATAGAGCAAACCTCACTTGTCTCACTTGTGTGTAGGGGGGGGGGGGGAAACGTTCCATAAGGTGGGCACCATAGCAGCAAAGTCAGAGTACTTGGTGATATTACTGAAAGAACAATAACTTCATCAAAAACCTTAACTCTTTTTTAATGCCCTATTTTAAATGGGAATAGTTTTGAAGCAAAATCAAAGCTCAAAAATCATATTCCATTCCTGAGTTAAATATTTCTGTGCAGCCTTAATGTGTGTGTGTGTGTGTGAGAGAGAGAGAGAGAGAGAGAGGGAGGGAGGGAGAGAGAGAGAGAGAGAGAGAGGGAGGGAGGGAGGGAGAGAGAGAGAAAGAATTCAATTAGGTTCTCTCAACTGCCAGATTTCCATCAGCAGAAAAAGAGAAGATGGTTTTTCAGCAATTCTATTTCCTTCCTATAGCCCTTCAAACCTGCTCCACGTGGTCACTTAATATCTGAGGCAAAGGGGGAGTTACAGAACAGCAGAGAAAAAAGGAACTGCTAAAAATCTACTCCTTTTCCTTGACAAAGTGTTTTCATCAACTGAAAGAAATTAACAGAATTCCAGCTTAAGAGTTCAAATTAATGGCTACTCAAACATTTACCACATAGATAAAAAATAGGCTATATAACAGTTTGGAAAAGTATTATCTTCCACGTATGGCTTATAGCAGGGATTCTCAACCTTGGCAACTTTAAGACTTGTGGACTTCAACTCCCAGAATTGGCTGAAGAATTCTGGGAGTTGAAGTCCACAAGTCTTAAAGTTGCCAAGGTTGAGAACCCCTGGCTTATAGGAATACTACCCTTGCCTTAGGCCTATTGACTCAGCATCAAAAAAAACACAACTACTGTCGACTCTAGTACCTGCAGCTCACACCAAGCAACCTCCACTGTGGTCTCAGTGTCAAGTCCCTTGTAGACAGTCTTGAAGGAGCCTCGGCCAATCTCCATGTCAAACTTCAAAAAACGACCATCTGGGGAGAAAGCCACAGCTTTGGTCTCCAGCTCTTCAATATCTTCTTGTCGCTTACTCCGCTCTTCCTGCAGATCCCGGGCCGAAGCGGTAACGCTTCCTGCCGTACTGGTAGGGGGCAGTGGAGTGGCTTCTATCCCTTCCTCCTTGGCTAATAAGGGGGCAACCTCCTTCGCTACCGAGGGCTCTGGACCAGACGGCACTTCTGCGGCTGGAGGCAGAGATGCGGGCTGCTGTAGAAGCAACGCGGGCGCCTGGCTGGAGGTGACAGACGCGCCGGCTGCCTGGATGACAGACTCGGGAGGAGAGCCCAACACGGGCGGGATGCTCCCTCGAGCAGCAGCAGCCGGGGGAGGCGCCGCCGGCTGCAGCCGCGGAAGGTCCAGAGCGGTCGCATTCGAATCGCAAATGACGCTCCGGCGGAAAAAGCGGTGCTCCGTGGCCGCCGCCGCACCGCGGCTGTCCTTGTCCATGGTATGCCGGCGACGGCGGTACTCCTCGCTACGGCAATTAGCACCTTCCGACCCCTCTGGGTCGCCCGGGGCGGACGGCGTCCCCGCAGCGGCCACCCCCAGCTTCTCGCCGACGGAGCTGTCGGAACTCGAGCCGTTCTTGGGCGGGGGAGGCGGCGGGGCGAGGAAGCGAGGAGCCGCCGCCGCCGCAGCACCGCTCTCCGGAGCGCCAGCTGACATGATGTCGAAGGGGAGGCGCAGGAGGGCGCGCAGCAGTTGCCGCTGCAGCAGCTGACGCGAGGGCAGTCAAGGCGAGGCGGCGAGCGCGCCCAAGAGCTGCTCGGAAGGCGGCAGAAGCGGCGGCGGTTCTTGCTGCTGCTGCTGCTGCTGCTGCAAAGGCGGCTCCCGGAATCTCCGGGCGGCGTGGAGCAAAGAAGACGGCGAGGCGAGTAGTGGAGCGGGCTGGGCCGGCGGAGGCGGGGTGGATCCCCAGTCAGTGTCCGCATCCATCCTGCTGCAGCGGGGAACCGAACAGCAGGGCCGACATGGAGCAGCAGCGAAGGTGGGGTGGGGGAGACAGAGGAGGAGGAAGGAGGCCGGGAAGGAGCCTTCGGCAGGCCCCGGACCAGCGGGGTGGGGTGCGCAGTAAGGGCAGGCCCGTGGCAGTCGCGGCCGCGCGCGTTCCTTCTCGCCCAGCTCCTTGCCTCCGTTGAGGTCCGGCTCAGCCTCTCGCTTAGGCTCCGCCCCGGCCCGTCCTCGCCGCCGAACCTCTTCCCCTCTTCCGTTCGTTCCCTCACGCGATGCCGGGACGCCCGCCGCCGCCCCTCCTCGTGGGTTTCGTTCGCAGCCCGAAGAAGGCCACCCTCCGCTCCGAGAGCGCCTGGCCTGAGGGAGTGGGAGGAAAGGCGGAGAAATCACCCAGAAGGGGCGCCTCGCCTGCCCTGCCCGCCTGCCTGCCGCCGGAGCTTCTTCACGTCCGTCCTTCCCTCCCACTCGTGAGGAGAGTGGGGGATGGGCCTCTCACTGCCACCTCTCCCGAGTGAGGGGAAACTGGCCGCGCTAAATGGCGACCGCCCCCGAAAGACGCGCGCACAGCGACACTCTTCTTCCCTCTCTCTCTCTCTCACTCTCCGCCAGAGCGCGAGAGACAGACTGCGAGGCCACGCCCCCCTTTTTCCGTCCGCACTCCACCACGCCTGCGTCAACGCTGCTCCTCCTTCGGGTCTGCCTGGGACATGTAGTTCTCGTCTGTCTCTGACGCCGCGAACCACGGCGCAGCTTACACTTCCCATGATGCCTGAGGAAGAAGGCAAAGGCTACTATGCAATGAGAAAGTGGTACTTACGGGTTGTTTTTTTTTAGGGATCACCTGATGCTTTTCCCCCCTTCTCCCTGCGTCTCACGGCGTGCAATGAAAGTGCGACGTCAGTACTGGTGGCTTCGGGAATCATCAATCGGTTACTGCTAAAAAATTCAAAGAGTTTCCCATCATGCTTCGCTTCACTCTATTTCTTTTTTAATTAGAATGCAAACGTTAAAAATGGAAAATAATGTATTTTCATGTATACACCTATACGAGAAACGGTGGATTGGTTTAAAAATTCTGATTTTTGCAATTTATATTCAACCGATTTTTATTACGGTCGCAGACCAGCATTACAAAGAAAAGCATTAAAAACAAAAAAGACAAAATAATATTAGTGGTAAGAGTATTTGTGGGCAGTTAATTTGCATACAAGTATAACAAAGTACTTTGTAATTACAAACTACTTTGTAGTTTATATTGATTTTAAGCCATTATTTAGTAAAGCCTTAACTAACCATGCTTGTATATTTTTGAAATGTCAACATACAATTTATGTGCCATTTTAGTGTACATGGATTGTTTTGTTGCATACTAGTACTGACACAACGGGATTTTTCTTTAGAGAGTAAAAGAAAGAAATCTATTTTAAAGTTAATGGTGCTTAGTAACCCTCCTGGGAACAATTTAAGCTTGAGGTGGAATCTGTTAAAGCAAGCCAAGGTCAAATTAGATTGCTTAATCTTCTTCACATGTTAAATTGTGAATTAGCAGTGTTTGTTTCCTTTGATGGGAAATCTTCAGGAAAGAACAGTAAAAGTCTCTGCTCTTACTGGAATAAATACCCTATTCCAACATTGTAGGAATAGAGCTTAGTCTATAGTAGCCCCACATCAGAAATAACCTAATAGCAACTTATGCCTCTTAATCAAATTTGTCATTTTACAAAAAGTGCTACCGATTCCTTCCTATTCCCACAATATATTTGAATCAAAGAGGATTAGTACATTGCAGAATGCCCACCAACAACATGCGCCACTAGGGAGTTAAATTTAGTTCCCCCCCCCCAAGGCTTTTATTAACAAGTCTGGAGGGAAACATAAACTAAGAACAGATTTCATTTTGCAAGAAAAATGGAAATTGACAAATGTAAGCCTGTTACAAAAACCACAATTAAATCTTGGCAATATAACATGCGTACTAATAAAGAAGAATATTTGTAGCTCAGGATTGACATGAGTCCTTGGTGCTTTCAGCTTGCTGTTTTCTTGCAGACATTTCATTACCCAAACTAGGTAACCTCAGTACTAGTAAGGAGTGCTGTTTGTACCAGGGATCCTTCACACAACATGCTTCCCATTAGAGTGATTGGCAACACTAATCAATCCTTGCCTGCTGCTGTCTGTATCAATGTAGAAAAGGACTGTGATTTAACGAAGCCTTGCCAGTACTATGCTGAGAATTGGTGAGTGTGCTACACTTCTATAACTGTTTACCTCAGTTAGTGTGTGACCAAGTACTATTAGACTCACCAATAAAAAATGAACTGGATTATATACATGCTAAGAACAGGATCAGCCTTATATAGTCCTTGACTTATAACCATTCTTTCAGTTATAATGGCACTGAAAAAAGTGATTTATGACCATTTTTCACACCGGTTGTAGCATCCCTATGGCCATGTGATCAAAATTCAGATTCTTGGCAACTGTCATGTAAGCACCATTTGTGTTCCCAGCCACCTTCCATAAGCAAAGTCAATGGGAGAAGCCAAATTCACTTAATAACCGGATGATTCATTTAATTGTCTTGCTTAGCAATGGAAATTTTGGGCTGAATTGTGGTTGTAAGTCAAGGACTACTGTAGAACAACTGTTTTCCTGAATTCCTAATTAAGAATTGTCAATAGTTCATTCCTTGCCTGTTTTGTATTTTTTTTTTCAAATCTAATAGCATTTTTTCAATATAACGTTTACATGGAATTTACATTGGAAGGACAATATTTGGCTTTGAAACTTGAATTTTGATTCCTCAGTGAAAATATTATAATTACTTCTACATTTTTATTAATTTGCTCATTTACTGTAATAAATGTAGGGTATCACAGATCTGAATTCATTATTTTATGGTTTCATCAGAATTTAAGACTTTGAAGTGACTCACCCAGCCCATGTTTTATCATTAAATATTTTCTTGCTTGATGAAGTTCCAAAGATCTGTAGCTAATCCAGCCTGCTTTTTTTTTTTTTTTTGGAGGCAAGACCCAGACTTTCATGTAGTGTTGCCTGTTCCTCAGTAGACTTGTGGATGCCAAAGAAGTCAGAAAGAGGGGACTATGTTTCATGAATAGAAGTGCCTGTAGTGTGATTGGAATCATCAGCTACATCAACATGGATAATTCTACTCGAGGACATAGGCAAGCAGTTGCATTGACATGCTAACATAAAGGCAGTATATATGCTAACATGGATTAAATTAACTCTTCAGCCAGTAGTGACTCTGGCAAATAATGCTGTGCATACAGTTTTAATGTAAGACAACGCACAATTGATAAGAGTCTCCAGTTTTGTTTTTTCATTCCTTCAAGTGTCACCTGCAAGAAAAAGTGCAAAAAAACAAGCATACATTTCATGAAGAGCATCATGAAACAACCATTCAACAGGCAATCTTCGACATCAGAATTTTGCATATGGCTATTGTACAGTATAGTCAACTTAGGTGGCAGCGTATCAAGAAAAAAGCAACAGGAAATCATTTACAACTGGTACTCCAGTTCCAATCAATGCAATTGAGACATGGTCCATTTCAAGTAAAATGCAAGGTCATTAATAATGATGATGCATTCTGACTGACATATAACAATATCTGGTCAAGCACTATGCATGTATCATGGAATATATCCCACTGTCTGCAGAAAGATTTATTTTGGACCTTTTGCTGTTGAACATAGTCCTAAAGAGCTTGGCAGAACAGATAGAAAATATGATGATTAAAAATGATTAAAAATCAATCAAATATCATATTTGCTGATTATAAAAGTGCGGAGGTATCAGGCACAAGCAACCAGGTCCACACCTGTAGGGTTCAAAGTAGCTACTTTATTGTGTTCTGCCTATAATACAGGAATATCCCCAGATTGCTTGCCTTCTCTTGGGAACAAACATGTAAGGTCCCATGGAATTTAGGGTGGGGGTAGCCAGTGGTGGGATTCAGCTGGTTCGCACCACTTCGGCAGAACCAATAGCTAATTTTTTGTTGCCCAGGCCCAGAATGGATTTCCGGAAGCAGCATCCACACAGAGAACCGGTTGTTCACATGTTTGAATCCCACCACTGGGGGTAACCCTAGGTCTCTTGTGGCTACGCAATAACTCAAGGCTAATTCTCTACTTGATCCCTCCTCCTTGCCTGGCTGGCAGCTTCTCAACAGGTGAGACAGCAAACACCTTAAAGAACATTGGGCTGGAACAATAAGCAGAAACCAGCAATATTAAATTCAACAAGGACAAATACAAAATTCTTCATTTGGTGAGAAAAATAAAAGGAGTGAGGGGAGAACATATAAGGCAGTATCACACACAAAAAGGAACCAACAGTGTGCAGAAAGCTCAAAGACAATTACAATCCTAATCTGCATTAACAGATGTATAGTATCAAAATCAAAAATCAACATGAATCTCTTTTGAATTGGCCAGACCTCATCTAAAATATTGCTTACAGTTCTGAACAATATTGATAAACTGGAACAAGTTCTGGTAAAATAACAATGATAGAGGATGTCGAAAGAACTTATAAAAAGTGATTAAAGACCTTGCGTTTGTTTAGCCTGGAAAGGAGACAATTGTGGGAGAGTCATTAGAATTACCTAGCAACATCTGATGGATTGTCAGGTAGAGGTCAGAGAAGAATTGTTCACAGCTGTTCCACAGGCCAGGAAACAATGAGTTTAAATTACAATGAAGTACATTTTGACCGGGCATCAGGAAAACCATTCCAGCCCTACAGTCTTCAATAGTTGGAACAGACAATCATGGGAGAGAATCTCCTTCTCTAGAGATGCTTAACTAGAGGTGATATGACCATCTGCTGCAGTTGGGCCTGTTGCAGTAGCAGATTTCTGGATGGGGCAGGGGATTAAACTACATGAACTTCAAAGTCCTTTCCAATCAAACATACTTCAATTCAATCACCAGAAATTTATTTCATGATGAAACTGATTTCTGAGGAGTTTGGACATGCTACTTTTGAGCCAAATTCAGATACGCCAATATTTGAACATCCAAAAGAGAACAATTCAGCTCGTACTTGCTTATCCACTTCCCAGCCATGTAGGAATTCTTTTTACGTTGTTTTTAGAGGGAAGAGTGACTTGCACAAGCAAGCATGGGTTTTGAAAGTACGTGTGCTGATCCTGCGCATGTGTACTCTGAAGGAAAGTATTCATAGAAGCATTTGTTACAACATACATTGGAGGGATGTGCTGTGTCCCATTCCAAGGAATTTTTCAGTGAATGTGATCCATGTAGACATGTACAAAAGAGAGATCTTTGCATCTCACTGCACTCCCAGTTTGGGGATAAAGTAATTTGGACTAGCTTTATCAGTCCTAAAACCTAGATTAATCTAGATTAATCAGTTAGCTTTATCAGTTAAATCTAGATTTGTAATATTGGCCAGATTTAGAATAAACATTTAAATACTTGGCATATTTACAGGAGAACTGAGATCAATATTACAGTAGTAGCTATAATTTTCTCAGGAAGCATTAAGACTGGAAGCTACTAATAAAAATAACATGAGTAAATTACAAACATATAATGTCATGGCTTCCTAGAAAGTTGTAAAAACTTGGCTTATCCAGAGGGCTTTTGAGTCCACAGTTGTTAATGCTGAACTCTGTTCTACTATATGGTTATATTGCTTTATATTTTTATTATGTTATTATACTATTAGTCTTATACTTGATTACATAAACTATAAACCATCTTGCTTCCATTTGGACTTAAGCAGTGTATAAATACTAACATTATCACCTGAGGTTTGTAGTAAATGAAGTTAGCAAATAGCATTAGTAAGGTGTTAACCAGGAAGTACTGTTCAGATTCAACTAGAATGGGAACATGGAACTTTAAGACAGAGTGAGTTTGTTAGGCCAAGGCAAATGAAAATGAAGTCACTTTTTAATAAATCTGTAAATTTTGATACATACCCACACTCATTCTGTAGTATTGACTGACACTTTATTGAAGCATGATTACTGATTTATTGATTTTTTTTCAATAAAGATGCATTAGTCTGCATTGTGCATATATATTAGTTTATTAATTGTGCTTCTATCTGGAAAAAAAACTGAGTATAGATAGTCCTTGAGATACAACTATACTGGAGCCTGCCCATTATGGTCACATGTCATAAAAGCCATTCAGCAAAATAGCCTCCCTTAACAACCATGTCCCCTGTTCTCCCTGATGCAGCTGGTAAATGAACATGAGACTAGTTAAATGAAGCACAGGGTGCCTCAGGTGGGAAGCCTACATAGACCCAGAGTCACCTGCCCCAGGCCTCCCAAGACTACCCCATCCCCTGAGGCATCCTGTACTCTGTTTCCCGCCCCCTTGGGGTCCCTGCAGCCCTTCCCATCCAGCAAGCAAGTATTTGCAGGACTTAGCCTGCTCCAAGGCCCAGCAACACCCAACTTATCTTTCTGTTTTTTGCAGCTTCTGAGACAGGTATGGGGCCTACTCTAGGATCAGATTTCTTAAGTATGCTGCTGGGGAATTCTGGGAATTGAAGTCCACGCATCTTAAAGTTGCCAAGTTTGAGAAGCACTGATCTATGTGAGTGACAAAAATAAAAAGCAATGAAATACCATAAAAATCCAATAAAGTTACACAAGCTGCTCACCCACAAAAGAAAAACCCGGCCAAAATAGCTGCTGAATATTACCATTAAGACTCAAAATCCTGCCTAAATAAAATTGTTTTGATCACCTTGAGCAGGAGTAGGCAACCTTGGCTCTTTTATGACTCATGGACTTCAACTCCCAGAATTCCTAAGCCAGCCAGGCTGGCTCAGGAATTCTGGGAGTTGAAGTCCATGAGCCATAAAAGAGCCAAGGTTGCTTACCCCTGACCTTGAGGAAGGCCAACAGTGATGGGCCAGGTGCTCTCCATCTCTGGCAGAAATAAGGGCTTATCTTACTATTTTAAAGTAATATGCAACACTTGTCTGGCATAACCAATCAGTGTAAAATCAGGGGTATTCATGGAATATGGTCAAAAAAGTCAAGATGGCACCATGATGATGACTAGGGCTGACTTTTTTAACAATACCGTGCTGAAACTCCTGGTGTAAATCCTATTATATATCATATTAAAATGAGTGGCAAAGAGAAAATGTTTACTATAAGTCTCTCTCATTTCCTTTCCAAACATGGCAGCTAATAATTGCAACTTGGATTCGGTACAGCCTCCTCATGCCCATTCATGCCTGTGGCATATTTGTCTGCAGAGAATTCTTAAGGAATGATGGGTGTATACTTTAGATTGTCATCTGGCTTCAGGTGCCTGAGTAGGATGATTGGTATTTTCCTAGATCTCTCCCCTTCTCCTCCACCCTTTCTAATTGCACACAATCTTACAAGCAATAGGATCAAGGATCTTTATCAATAGACCCAGGTTATGTAATATTATTCATTCAGTATAGCTGTGTTTGATTAACACCCGGCATCACAAAGCAGACCACCACATGTTATAGAACAAACACAGCCCATCTGGGTAGTTTACAATTCCATGTCTGAAGCAAATATAGGAAACTGGGTTAGTTGAATAAACCATGATGGACTTCTTGGACATAGATATGCATGACACGCGAATGCATCCTTTGCTTGTTTGTACTGTAGTAGTTGATCCATTCCAAGTTTTCAGCAACAGTTTGTTACAAGCCAATTATGTTGCTCTGATGACAGTTCAGTGATTTATTATTAATGCAATTCACTCATCCTTTCTAAAGTCAATTGCTATTATAATTGCATCAAATTTCTATTCCTTTCCACAGCACTTCTTTGATTTTCATCAACCACTCCTATATCCTTTATTAGCACTCTTTTTCTTCTAAACTCAGCAGTGAGAATGTGAGTAGCTGTGAGCAAGAGAGTATTTTGCTGTAGCTGAAGTGATATTATGCACTCCTGCAAGATAAACTACATCTGCCAAAATTTCTCACTTCTATATAATTATGAAAAGATTCAGAAGTCTGCCTCCTTTTGCATCTGGCCAGTCAAGTTTTTTTTTTTTCTGTGCCTTTAGATTTTGAAATCTGGTCCAATTTCACCTTATCACTTGAGCAAATACTGGTTCTCAACATTCCTACTTTGAACAATCTGGGAATTTCCCAGAGTTTGATATGAGGGGAGTCTATATACATGTTTTAAATAATCATTTGGATTCTGAGATAATGCAATGTCAGATTTGTTCAGACCAATATTGTCTATTTGGCTTTGTATATTATATTAAATCATGGTATTATACGGGCCATCATTGGCTTCTTTTATGCAGTATACTAAATCAAAAGCAAGCAAGCTACTTTGAACACTGTATGAACCCAGCTTTGGTATGATATTCTATTTATATCACTAACATTCATAATATATATATTTGCAGTAAGAGTTCTCTGGGTTTGTAGGTTGTGTGATTGAAACATTCAATCATGCTTAGTGATGATTAACTAAACCACTATTGACCATTTTCATAGATTATGTTGTGCAGTAACCGTGGTTTGAAAGCAACGATAGTTTTGTTCATACTCCACAGTACGATCTAATTTCTATGTCTTTATGGATAAATGGATTTGAATCAATGAATAATGTTCATACACTTGTCTCAAAATTTAAATTAATGTAATTCAAAAGTAAAAGCTTATTATTAGGGATTGAACTTTAATTTGTTGAAGTCCACGAGTCATAAAAGAGCCAAGGTTGACTACCCCTGAACTGAAGGATGCTCAGAAGCCCCTAAATTGTCCCTGGAATTATTCCAGGTAAGGCCCATGAGACTCTAGAAATAGATTAAAGAAACAAGTCCATAAAATAGTGAGGCTTCCTGTGAAGGCTGTCAGGCAACATTGTTTGACCTATAACATCTAGCATTTATGGTAGGTTGATCCAACATCAAGCAGATTCTACTTCTGTACATTATTTTAATTTCATGTTATGAGCTACAATATTGCAATCATACTTTTGCTTCCCATTGAAAACAAACCAGCTGTTTCTGAAAGATAAGTTTGAGGAAAGAACTCAAGCTATCTTTGCACATCAAAGTATTCCTTGGCAGGTTTTACCCAATTTCAAATGAAACACTTCATGTAAATATTAATTTCTTCGACTTATTAAAAATAAGATGTATATAAGAGGGAGGTGCTGCTCGGGTGTTTCCCCTGAACTGTATCCGAAGAGGGATAAGAGGGGAGGAGGAGGGAGGAAGGAAGTTGGATGGGAGGAAGGGGTGAGGGGAGAGAGGAGAGGAGAGGAGAGAGGGAGTAGGGAAGTAAGGAAGGAAGGTTGAGAGGGCGGATGCAGTCGGGGGGGGGAGATAGACGAGCGACACCTAAGGTCTTATTTTAAAGGTATTTTTCCCTTTTTTTAGTTTTATATATAATGTATGGAAAGTATTATATGTATTGAAAATTCAAATAAAATTTTTAATAAAAAAATAAGATGTATATAAATACATCCAAATATCTTATATTTTATGAGAACATTTATAATACAAATGTCTTTAAAACTTAATTCTGTACTATTACTATTTGATAGATAGATGATTTCACAAGAATGCAGTTACTGCAGGAAATTTACTAGTTAAGAGAGCATTTCACAAATAGCTATAAGATATCTTCAAGGTCAGTAGTAATATAACTCTTAACACCAGCTGAAAAAATTCTAGTGGGAAAACATTTTATAAGCTTCCTGTAAGCATCTAATTGGCCACTGGGGGAAAAGGATGCCGGACTAGCAGCAAGACATTCATGTACTGACCCTATGGTAGATCTTCACAAGGAAAGAAAATTTTGCAATGTAAAATTTGCCTTTACAGTATTTTCCCTCTTCTTCTTTAACAGGCGAAGACCATTAAAATTAATGTTCTTGTTGTAAATCCTCTTCTGTCCAAGAACACTGAATGCAGACATTTTTGCAATGTTCACCCATAAATGTTGATTTTGTGAAGGAATCTTTGACCAATGTGAGAAAAGCGTCACTTGGGATTTTGGTATTTGTGCAATCCGTTGCACTTCTGCTATTGAAATCCAAAACACCTTCCCTGAAGTGCAGTTGCCCAGACTCATTCAGTATCCACTCAACACTCAGCAGCTGCTCTTACCAAGCAACAATATTGAGTTTGCTTATTAAAGGACATGACAGCAGTCACAATGGTTTTTAAAAGATTGTGTCACTTGTTTCTTGCCTGCAAGGCTAACATTATGCCAAATATAGAACACTGTATGTGTATCATGCATATACATATGATCAAAATTGTACACAGATATGCATTAATATAGTCTGTATGGTGCCTTATCACAGTACAAACATGAAATCTGTCTCCTAACTATTTCACCTATAGAACCATGGAGCTCTCAAACAGTCTACCATCAAGATAGTAACTGTGCTCAGACCTGCTTCACTAAATCAGGCATCTTCAAATACTTTTTTTTTATTCCCAGAAAATTATTCTAATGGAAAAAAAAACTTTAATGAATTGCAGTTTTGACTTTGGTAGAAAACTATTCTCCTTTCTCACTTTGATCCTTTTTGAACAGACGTTTTGCTGCGGGATAATCTGGAAAAAGATTTTTGGCGTTCATATATTATCACTTTTTATCTCCTTTTCATCCCTGAAGCTATTCTCATTTGCTTTTTATAGTAATGTGTGTGAGAGTGATTTGGGCTGCCTGAATTGTATAGTTAGAAGAGTGAGAGGCTGTAAAATTATTAACTCATGTAAAGAGAAATGAGTGCAAAGTTAGGCAATAGACACAAAGCAATCTATCAATTTTTAGTTAGTTTCTTTCTCCTTTTTGCAACCATGTTAATTCAATTTTTCTGTTTTTGAACAATAATATACTCTAATATTATATTTATTGTATATTTGATTTGTGCAGCCATCCATGATTAAAGTGAAACTTCTTATGAGCACAAAGAATATACTTCCGATTTCAGGTGTGTAATGCTCACACCTCTATCTTGGGATGATAGAATTTCTAGTTTATTACATCTGGTAGATCTTGGTCTGAAGAAGGCTGAATTAAGCACAAACATTTATATTAGATTATCATGTGGATACTACTTCCGTTTTGGTAAACAGTGTAATTTTTTGAGAGGGCAGTTGGGATGGTATTAAGTAAATGGATTCTCCCATTTTTGAAAAAGTAACTAGGAAAAGATCAGGGTTAACTTCAATAATTCAGTAAGAAACCAGGTTGGTCTGAAAAAAAGAAGGAAGCTAACTGTAGCTGCAGGAATGCATAGTATCATCCTCTATTCATTTACAGCCCATGAGGAAAAACAGCTTCCAACTGTATTTTCCTTCTGTGAGCAAAAAGAAAAAAGAAGAAGAAAGAAACGAAAAAGAAAAAAATGTTTTCTGACCTGTGCCAGTTCAAGTGGTGTGGTCCGATTTGCCTGCTGTGCTTCATTTCCCTGTAAGTGAATATCTCCTCTCCAATTGGCTGTTTTCTCCACCAGTCATGATTCTGGCTTTCATTTTACTTTTCCCCCAAATTCATCAACAGAAGTGCAAAACATAACTTAAAAATAAGGAGTTTACAGATGAAACTGTGAAATGATGCATTGTCAAATTCATTCATGGAAAACAGATAAAATTTGACATGAGTTCTGCAACTTTCCCTTTCTAGCCCAAATGATACAAAAAGCAGTATATCTCCCTCCCTCCCTCCCTCCCTCTC